TCACGGCCTTGTCTGTGAGAGAGATAGCCAGACTATTTCAACACAAGCAACGACCCTGACATCTACATGGATTCTGAAATCAAGATTTCTACATAAGTCCAACAACAGGTCTCATTCGTCATCAATGAACCCCGCATCCTCACCTAAAAACAGAAAGCTCTGCAGATGACTACCGACCACGGCGGCGCCCAATGCTTTGTTCAGGGCGTGGTCCGCACCGAGTGCAAAGCAAAGACATCCACACACTATGTTGAGCACAAGCTGGACCAGTGCTGCCAGCAGTATCCCACTGCAGGAGAGTACGGAGCAAACACGTGTTTTCACATCGTCAGGCAGTGCATCATTGCCCTTTTGCAGAGTCGGTCTGAGGCGGGGTCTCGGTCAGCATGTCAGCAGCGTGAACATTAGCTGAGAGAGTTCGAATGACCCCTGTCGAGGAGTCGCAACATTTTCAGGTCAATGTTCAACCGGCCGTGAGAGGCAAAAGCGAGGCAAACAAGGAGCACGCAACTGATCACCTTCCCGAAGGGCAGTTGGACAATATGCATTGATCTAAGCCGCGGATGAAGTGTCCGAATGCTGCGTTTGACTCACGTTCCCCGACTAAGGACGTCCCCGATATCAGGGTCCCGAGGAGGAAAAGCCCCGTCGCGTGGAATGCTTTGCCTTACTCGAGCGACCACCAAGTATACTGCCGCCAGAAAGTAATTTGGCTCGCGCACCCATCTACATCGTATCATTGCGACATGCAAGGGACAGTAGCAAAGAGCAAGCGTCACATGAACGAAACCGCAATGAACAAAAAATAAAATGAAAACAAATGTTTTGGTGTGATGTGGGGCGTCGAAGATAATGAGAAAATGTATACGGAAGGCGAAAAATGTTTGCTGATTTCTACACATATTCCCCGTACACGGTTCTCGACCGCAGACATGTTTGATATGTGAGATCATCAGGCGCTCTCTGGCAGAAACGTTGCACATTTGAAGCAAAGCCTAACGGTTACCGCCGGTCTCACTCTAGGGTTGCCCGCGATACAGGGAACGTGAACCCACGTACTTGTACCCGACGACGTCGGAAATAAATCCGACAGCGACCATCAGACAATTACAACGGGTTGTGTGGTTAAACGAGAGACAAGATGTTGGGCTAGAGCGAGGGGTTTTGGTCGAACTGACCAACTGCTGGTGACGAGTCTGGCATAAACTAGACAAGATCCATATTTCCATATTTCCTGAAAGTTGAAATCTGCCGCCACTACTAGCCTACATAGTTGCGAAACCGGCCATGGTCCATTACTGCGTGACACATTTTTGATCTTTAGGTAAATCATCATCACACACCTTGACTTGCTGCCGTATTCCGCTGATAGAATTGGCTTCGAAGCTTGGTATTTTCCTTTTGCGTCCGCGACGACCTATGTCGGGGTGTTGTGAGACAGGTGGCATTAGGGACAGGGTTTAACGAGAAGACATATCTTGAGTTTACGATGTTAATAGCTTCGAGTGTTGCAGACTGATAGAACCGACCGTCAACCATGTGACGTACCCACCTGCAACCAATTGCGTTTCGCGGTGACCGAAGGAGGTGGTGTAGCCGAGGCAGCAAACGCCCGTGGAACGATAATTGAGGCCGGTAGCGTCGCCGCTAAGCTGGAAGAGCAAATGGTTGGGCAGAAAGCAGTGACAAAGGAAGGCATTATGTCCCATCGATTTGCATCGGCTGCGGTAATATCGACATGGTGCGACCGTGGACCTGTTCCAACAGGAATCTTTGCAGATTGAAGCACGCACGCAGGATCTGGTGCGCAGCTGCTTACGATATTGTGTAGCATCTGGACCATCTAGCAACACATGACACACCGAAAGCGGGATTAGTATCTCTCGCGGCCACGGCATCCATCGGCCGTTTTCGGCAATATATGATGGGCGGCAAGTAGAATTCCTCCATCTCACCTGACCAAGACCTGCACGTATTCAACCTCTGGGCTGGTGGCGTTTCCAGATACGGCAGCGGAAAGCATCATGATGACCATCACTTGTGTAAATATCAACAATGAAAGCTGCCAAAGCAAGCAAAGGGTATGAGATCGATGCAACGTAAGCATCCGGTCTGAGTGCGGGGCATGAGGGGGCGTGTAGTGATAAAGTATCTTCTGGATGTCGATCTTGTTAAGCGATTCATTGTGTCGCCTTCGCTGAGCAACAAGTCGCGTTTAGCACTCAAAGGTGGATGATAATATCTGGGGCCATGATTACCCCCTCCTAGCATCCGGATCTAGGCCGTGACCGCTACGGTACCCCTAGTCCCATGAGGACGCAGAAGTACTTAATGGCGCACTCGGATCGTGACGCAGTCTTTTTTCGCTCCAGGTCACTGTTCCTACCTGTGCCCTGGTGAGAGTTAAATGAGTTCCAGATGGCGCAATTATCCCAGCCCAAGGGTGGAAGAAAAGCACATGCTTAAGCAGTGCCCAGATCAACTGAAGCCAGGACCGAGTTCTGATACGATTTGAGGAGAAAGGCATGCGGAACATTCGATGAGTAGTGTATCATTTGGCTCGGGTGGCTTGTGTCTCCCTACCCATGAACCCTAACTAGAAGCACCGGCACGGACGACCGTCTATGGCCGATGTCTCGCCGCTAACCCCTCCCAGCGAAATGCTAAACAGTGTCGTTTGCGTCACCGGAAGTATCTCGGCCCTCGTGCACAAGGGTGAGGAAGGGACGGGTACACTTTCTTCATGCCGCTCAAATCGACGACCAACTGACTCTATTAGCATCACCCATACCGTTACGCATGAAACCCCAACAAGGCCATACCTAGAAAGGTCATCGAGACACACCTTCCCCACGTTCTACCGATCGTGAAGTAGCGCAAGGCGGCGTTAACGTCATCCGCAACACATAGCTATCATGACACACCGTTGAACAAAGTAGTCTCACCGTTGGAACAACTTCCGTCGAAGGTATCCTGCAAATGACTCATCCCGTCTTTTCCGTCTTCTCTTGTGCTTCCTCTCTAGCGTCTGTTTCAAGTCCTTGATATCTTCCAAAGTCGGTAGCCGCTGGGGCTGGTGCGGACAGAGCAGTCGAGGGAAACGAACGTATGCCCAAATTGGACCCAAACAGTGTGACGGGCGAGGTTACACCTCAACGGGTTACAATAAAACACGGCGGAGTGTGTGCAGGCTTGACGTGTTCGCCCGCCCCGCTGAGTTGTGTTCTGTGTTCTCTGGACGTGTGACCAATGCGTCACCCGTGTGTATGTACGTATGTACACGCAAGGCTGGGGAGAGGATAATCTACCCCGGCACACATCAGTCGCAATCAGAGACAGCTGTGGCCAGACTTGGCCACCAACTTCGGGTATGTTGTGGTACTGCTGAGAGGGTGGTATACTTAACACTCACATGTCCTGTTTCGATGTAGTGGTCGTAGGCCCTTGTCTGAAGCTTTTCGGCCGTTTTCGAACGATGATCTGCTATCCTGGAGACGCTCCAGACGATGCCCAAAAGGATCAAGGCGCCTACCGTCAGCACAAGTCCCCACACGGTCATGTCCCTTCCACTGACGACACTGAGGCCTGCCCCCTGACCAAAACCATGCGGGGGGGTAGGGATGCATCATTGTGGGAATAGTCTATGATTGTTTTGCCCGCTACAGATGAGCAGATGTACTTGTATCCTACACGTGCTCCTGGGAAAGGTGCGAGCTCAGGCAAGGCACACTACGCTTGGGGTGCCGAATAGACGATGCTGCAGGGCCAACGCTAGCTGCGGCACGCCGTTCCCGGCTCAATCATGGGAGGCACCGACGTTTTCTTGGGCATGGTACAAGACAACGTGGAAAACTTGAATCGAGATCACAAACGTTCACAATGTCACAAATCAACACCAAAGCTCACCAACGTCACCGGTTGGAAGACGGTCTCGATTTCTGTGGTTGCCACACCGAAGTCCGACAGGTGAAACGTCACGCAGGACACGAGGACATCCAGTGCGCTGTCGCCCGCGTCGATCGGGACAGCAACTGCGCCAATAGCGAGACCCTCTGAATCCCAGAGGCCGGTTTCCTCGTTGTAGTATGAACACGACGGGAGTAGAGCACTCGATGTCATTGACGCCCTCATTGTCAGCTGCACCGGGCCTGCCAACGCGATGTCCTGAAGGGTGGAGATGATCGGCAAGCAGGCAGGCAAGACATGAGGGCCAGCGAAGTAACTGGTTGCGTGGTGAAACCCAGGTGGTACATGCGGTCCTCTTCTAATGGTATGCATGGCAAACGGAAGACAACTAGCAATGCCCGGCAACCTGACTTCACAACGCGTGACACCTTATGATGTTGGTGGTTGCGTGGCAAACACTCCGTATACCACACCCACGAAAGAAGCAACACCCCCGACAGAAACCCACACATTTCGCTAATCGTCTTTTCCGCTAACACCGAGTACGAAAAACCATGTTCAGATCAAGTAGTAGGGTGGCAGAAGACACGGCACCCCCACGCAACTCCACACAGGATGGCTGCATACGCAAAGGCTAAACGTGCATGGTAAGTCGCAGTTTTGCTGATAAGGTAGAAACATCGGCCTAGAAGGGAAAATGAACGAAATGATCCCTAATGCTAGCACGTTCGGCTGTCGTTGCTACCACGATCAACGTGTGTTGCTTGTCTGACTCTGCGGAGATCCGGTTGGGCCGAACTGCCTCTGACCTGACATTGAAAGCATGTTGCAAGCAGGCACAGACTACATGTTCTCTCGATGACTGACTTGACACACCTCTCCGTCATCGGTACTTGAAACCCTGATTTGTGTGATCCCCCCGTTGACGAGGGCCGACGGCCGGCTAACAGCATTGAAGAGCTGGTTTGTGACGAGCACGGTTGATGTAGATGCCGGGGAAACAGTACTTAGGCGACGAGAGGATGGCCTTCGCCTGCGATTTGTCGATGAACCACATCCGCCTGCTTTGCACTTCGACCCCTCGTCCATTTCAGGAGTCATTCGTCTCCTCGTGGATGGCGGCGATGGAGAACCAATGACGCCGTTCTCGAACGACACCGATGATGTTCCTTTCATTACGGAAATACAGGACAACAAGCGCGTACTTATTTTTTTGCATTTTCTGTTTTTCACCGGTATCGAAGAGAATCGTCCAATCGGTTGGATCCTTCACACTCCACAAGGAAGTATTCGTTGTTCAAGGAAGTTGTGCGAGTGTAAGCTCTCACCAGCGTCGAAACTCAAGCTCCCCGTCCTTGAAGTGATGAGGCAGCTAGCTTGTACGTGGTCACTCTCGATTGTCATCACATCTTCGCCATCTTCCATTCCGGCCTCCATTAGGAGCCCCATGGACTGAACGATGGCCGTCAAACTTGTTTATGCGGCACCGGGCGTCACGCAACACACGCATTCATGGAAACGTTCATATCAATTGAAACAACGCCAGCAGGATCAGGGACTAGCCGGCAGAGATCACAAGAAAGCACCGTGGTGCACTGTAGCACGCTTCGATGCTCACTTATTGGCGGCGTCTTGGCCCATTAGGTCGCTTCCGACGATGGTGTCCAAAGACGTGTCGTACGCCCCGATCACCTGGTCCAACACCTGCAGAGAAGAGGTGGACATGCCGGAGCTCCAGTAGCCTTCCCCGACTGCTGTGTCCAGAATGGAGGCTGAAGACGCCAATATGGCTGCCTGAGCGCATGCAACACCGTCAGCGATCTCAGCGTAATCATGTGTTCATCGCAATGTCACCTACATCCTCCACGACTACGTACAAGTGAGATAAGAATCGCCACGGCTCTGTACAACCATGTCCCAACCGGTCCAACCCACGTTCGCCCTCGAGGCCAAAATTCCACACCAAATAACGCACACCTACCTGCGAATCCGTGTTCAATGCCTTTTCGCTGCTCGACAGAATGGCCATTGTGTCTAGAATAGCCCCCGCCGTTGTAGTCGAGTAGTCCAACACAGTGGATTCGTGCACGGTTGCATCAATCATGGTGGCCACGAAGGTCTGCGGCGGGAAGTGAGAACAGCAACGGCATCGATCTGTTTGATTGTAGATGAAACCTCGTGCCAAACGACATTGCAAAAAAAACCTCTGGGCCAATGTTAGAACGGGTACATCGCCTTGCAAGGGGCTCCTGGAGTCGCCCCCAAAACACTGCCAATCGTGCATTACGCCCACCCGCACGAACCTCCTGGTTAATGCCAACGGCTGCCAAAGAAGAGTATTCTTGGTGCAGTAGAAATGTCCCTTCGAGTACATAGTCTCGCATCAGATAAAAGGTGTGGAAAAGCAGAATATATTTACGTCTCCTTCGAGCTCAGAATATTGGTGTAGGGTAAGCCGCACGATCTATGCCCAGCTTTACCCTTAGCCCGGAAAGCACCGCCGCTGGACACTCGGTGAGTTATTTGTTTTGTGTGCTGCACCTTCATGATGATGGTGCCTATGCGTGCTTGTCGTTCTTTTGGTCTAGTTGCCAGCGGTAAATGTGTCGTATCAGTCGGGGTGCGACAGGAGGATGGCCACCCAGGAGCAGTATATTCTTCAATCTTTATTTTCCGTCTGCGGCGTTGGCCTTGATAGTAACCGGGAGACAGGGATAGAGCCAACGTTTTCACTAGTCCGTCCGTTGAGTTGAGGATGTTTCGCATACACAACTAGGCGTTTTCCAAATAATCGTGTAACTGCGCCGATAACTTGGGCCCACATCGCATTCATCAGAAGTTCCAGGTTTGGAACTGGATATAGCCACGGTTGTTTGGGGAAGCTATGTGTTTGAGGCACATTATCATATTGACGCACCGTAACCCTCACCTGAAAGTCTTGTGCTTCAGTAGGTGAAGCCGCGGCACTGTTGTTGATCTCGACCATGAGCAGGGAGGCAAACGCTCTGACAATTGACGTTGCTTCCCCTGGAACGTCTTCCGTCACGCTAGCCGCGGCCGTATATTCATCCATCAGCGACTGACCAGGGGTTTGCGTCAGGAAACACGAGTCATGGCACTCCGAACTTGATTGTGTCTTGCGAACAGACACTGCATGCAGTTGCATTATTCAGAGTCAAGCATCATCGAAATATTTTGAAACTTTTAAGACGACCGATCCCCACCCCCTCAAACAGCCTTGTCCCGTCCATCAGAGCAGTCAAGACCCGTTTTCAGTCCACCACATGCTGCACGTCGTATGCTCTGCAACCTCAAGGGTCAATCCCCTCCACAGATCGTCTCACCAAACCGTTCGAAGAGGCTGTCCATGCTGTCACATGCACGAAGAGTGGCTGCCCCGACCCATCATAGAATGATGTTTCTGTGGCACCGTATTTATCAGAAATGTGACCTTTAGAGGGTATGAGTTCGGAGCACCAATGATTGCGAAACAACCGTGAAACGTCCGTGTAAATAGCAAGCGCTCAAACGAAAACAAGAATCACTGGCACTAGGTTCTACTCGGATTCGTCAAGCCGGGACGAGGTTGCAAGCCGCGATGGCAACCCAAAACACAGTCATGGTGAACTTGGGGCGTACAGTTTGAGCTCGAGCATGTACGAGTGCTAGGTGTTTTTTTCGGGTGTCCCACCTCCTCGATTGCGGCGAATTACAAACCGAAACGGTGCGTGTTACAGCCCGCATTCGGGAGTAAAGTGCTGGATATTGGATTCGGGTCCCATCCCCCTCATTTGGTGATGAGATACAGATCGAAATGGTCCTCGTTCAATCCCCGAATTGTTCTTACCTATGATGGTCATCGTGTAGTTGTCAGCTGCCGAACCTACAGGTAGGGGCCCGTTCCACTCGACAGACTCCACCTCATACAGCGACAAGCTGCGCTGTCTTCCCGTTTCGTCCTGGAGGGGATCAAATTGGCAGTATTGTGGGTCTATGCGTATTTTTTCTGCATGTGTTTGCCCCTCGGATTCTGGTAACCATGTGGCGCAACGCCTTAGACGTTGCCGTATTGTGCTTGGCCGTGTTGTGATGAACATGACACACCCACGGACGCGTACGAATGGGGCTCGTTACGCCGCTGTTTTTTGCGCCCGAAAGTGCAACAATAGTTTCCAGGAATAGACTGGCGCATGACCAAAAAAATGTGCAGAAACCGACGAAACGATGAATTACACACCATTTGAGATCGTCCCTTCAAACGATTGGAATGGTTCCCCAGTATGACTCTTTTCGGTTATTGCTCGGCTGACCTGACCCGCGACGTAGAAGAAGGAGACTTTCAACGGAAGATCTCCGATGTCATCTTCCCATAGCAAAGCCTCCAGAGAAAACATGTCGATGGCTGCAACCCCTGCCCTTGGGGTCGCTTCGACGTATCCACCCGACGGGGGTGCGTTCACATCGAAATACATCTCCGCAAAGCCTGAAAGGTGTATATCACCGCACGCGCAACAATATCGGTGCGACTTCGAAGGCCGATCAGTGACGGCGAGTGTTTTTTGCGTTGCAACTCGCCTCCAGCATTACGATGAACAGCTGAGCTCGTGTTAGGGTGACGCATCCCCGTACACCACCTTCGATTGCGTACCTGTTTCTCCGGAAGCGGTGTCCACCGCTGAAAGACGGAACGTGTAAGACGACCCACCCGTCAGTACGTGCGGCCTGGCCACAAGAATGGCCCTGCAATTGATATGGTGGGGTTTTGCGAGGGTTGTCATTTTCAAGAGAGCCCCAAACCTCACCCAGGACCGACGAATGCATCCTGAAAATCCTTTGCCTGTTGTCAGGCCTACGAACGTTGGATACACACGGCCGGTGGCATCACACCGAGGCACTGCGTTTGAGCAGGAATCCGAACGAATTCCGATGATTTACACCGCCAATCAGCGTGAGAATGATGTCCATCAAGCACTCAATCAAACAGCACACATACTTCGATGACATCTCACCCAGTCTGGGTGCTGGTGAAGAAATCACTCCAATCCGCCGTCGCGAGGTCCAAGTCACCGTTCACCTGGACAGGGTTTGCAGACACGTCCCGACAACCAACGCAATCCCACGAGTCCAACAATTTTATGACAGCACGCCTTGAGTGATTGACGTCTTGACATCGGCATCACTGTGTGGTTCAGCGTACTCACCCCGCAGGTGCTCCGTTAACCCCTCTGACAACAACCATGAAGGGATTTTGCACCGCAAGCAGCTATTAGTTGCACGAGAAAGAAAAAAACACAATTTGCTGGTGATTCTTGTTGTTGCTCGATCGCGAGCAAAACGTGATGCTATGAAAGTAAATTTACGAAGGAATACGATCAGAGCTGGGTCGCCAGTGCCAGCGCAAGCACCACCCTGACTTCGATAACGTCTTGCATCCCACCTGTGTCCAAAAATATTCCACTGCTGTGGACTGCTCAACCACGCCGCCGTATATGACGACCTTCTGCGTGGGGTCCACCTTTTCTGCATCATTTTTAGCAGCCACGACCACCTCAGGAGCCTCGAAGGAAACGACCTTGAGACGCCACCAGACAAAAGAATAGGAGATGGGAGCACGTACACTGACGAAGCCATTGCCTTCTCGGCGTAGACTCCCGTGAAAAGTGGAATCCCGCTTAAACGAAGTGAAGTGATTTAAGTTGTTGATCCTCGGGCTATTGACTTGAAAACGCACAAGATCACGCACATTCGAACGTGCGACAGCAATCATTCGATCCGAATCGCTTGCAAGAGGTGAAGGTGACCCCCCCTAGATGAATCACCACGACTTACTCGAACTTGGACGGTCGCGGAGTCTGAACGAAAGACGCCGTAGACCACATCAGATTCTGCCGTTCCCTTGCTAATGTTCAGGGAGAACTCGTACACCTGTCATCGTCGATGGGGTACGAACATCCAGGTGGTGGGGCGGTAGGCTTGAGATCCGTTGGGGGACGTTCGAGCTACTTCTCTGCTGAGGGCGGTGGCAACACAGCCATCTGTCTGACATACCAAGCCTGCTTCCAAGCTCCCGCTCGGAATCGTGAAGATTGCCTCGTCCGAGCCAGTATACCCATCCGCCACTCCAGAGCAATTTTTGGAGCAAGACCAGGAGTACCTGGACATCGCGATGCACAGAGTTGCCAGCGACACTCTGGGGTTAACGAAACTGGGCACCGAGACGGAAGGGGGCCGTGTCAACGTGGAACCTTTCAAATGCTACCTCCACGTTTGTCAAGTGCGAGCTTCTCGGCAAAATGTGGAGCTCGACGAGAGACGGCATCACACGTATATATATGCATTCTGAATGCAAGCGGTAACTAAAGAGGCAACCTTGACCAGAGAGTCATGCTCTTGTTCCTTGTTTTGAGTAGAGGGAAGTGTCAATCGTTTCTTCGAGTATCTCGTTGCCTCTGAGCGCCGCGTTGGGTGGAAGCGTTCTTGCTACATTGGTTGCGGGGCTCCTGGCGAGTAGAGTTCAGAACAAGGTTGGAGCATCTCTAGGTGACAACCTGGTGTCGGCCTGTTACTCGTCCAGGTGTTGGATGTCCGCTGGCCAGAGGTTGGTGTATGTAGGCTCCATCCTCAACAAGTCCCGCCCCCGTTGAAGTCTCTTAATATTTATCTTTTCTGGCATAGATTCCAGCCAATCGGTGGTATATCAACATCAACATGTCGTAGTATGTCCTCTTTAGCAGTTTCCCTCCGGGTCAACTACAGTGCGTATGTCGGCAGTTGCCAGCGCGTGCAACCACCCGCCGACAAGGAGACCAACACGGGTTTTCTTGTGTGTCACGTCACACACCTGAGAGGAAACTCCTCTTCCGGAATATCGTCCTCGTCAAGTGATTCGCTGCCGTCCAGAACGAGGTCGGCACCTACAGGCGAACATAGCCGTTCGGAAACATCAAAGACGGGTCGGAGGCGTCGGAGAGAAGGGCCAGCCAGGTATGCCTCAGCAAAACTACAGTAAGCACGGGGTCGTCCCGATTGGCGCGTTCACGATCTGTGCGACGCTGTCACTTACCTACGGTGTGTTGCCGGTATTGACCGCCACTGATAGCAGCCCTCAGAGTGCCTTGTCCCACGATAATCTGTGAACAACGTTGACAGAGAAAAAAACGTCAAACCTCACGGATATCCGTACAAAATCGACGGAGCACCTCAATTTCGTGAAAAACGTTGGGTTTGGTACACCGAAAACTGATTTTCCGCACGGTGTGCTGTGGTTGGAGGCCACCGGTGACACCGTATGCGTCCTCGCCGCTAGGACAGTCCAATTATTAAATTATTCAGAAAGGGACCGTTCCCCGCATCGATACCTCCTCGACTCCTACTTCCTGCAAGACGTATAACAGCAGATGATTCCTCTCTTGCCTCTCTTTGAAACTTGTCAGTACTAATACCTAGTACATCCTCGACTCTTACGTTCCTGCAACACATACAACGGCAGATGATTCCTCACTTTCCTCTCGTTGAAACTGGTCTAATACCTGCTGTGAAACTAGAATGGAAGGAAAGGAAAACACCAAAACATGGTGTGACTCCGTGGGAAACCCGTGACTTGATTTTTACCGTGACTGCCTTGCGGTTTTATCTGTGCTTGTGTGACGGAGTAGCTCAAACCGCTCCGTGGAAAAACCGCTTGTACGGATGTTTTGGAAGCTCCATGGAGCGGATCGGAGCGGTTTATCCGAGGGCAAAATTCTCACGGAGCGGAGCGGAGTTTTCTATCATGTCACGGAGCGGAGCGGGCGGTTTTTCTAAAGGGAAAGTATCCGCTCGTGGAAAAAAACGCTCCGTGAAATCCCCTGGGTTTTTCCAAATTGAGGGGAATCAACCACTCAGGAACAAGCTGAACGACCTTTTCGAAAAGGACATCGGAACGTATCACCTTTCGACATGTTCTCACGAAATCTCGGGAGTATGGTAAGCAGTTACACAATGATGTTTTCTTGTTGTGGGACAGTTGTGAGAAGTAGCGCGAGAATGAAGATATTTTCAGGCAAACGTACAGTATATCACGACGGGCAACGTGGCAGGCTTTGTCCAATCGTTGATATACTTATCAGTAGGTGCTGCCATTCGCTATTTCGGTAACCCTGCTGCTTTCATGCTATGATGTCGGGGTGTTTGCAGCTATTCGCCGTGATTATGCCGTGGGCGACCGTCAACAGCCTCCTACAGACCTACAGATATTGTTTGTAGCACCCGGAATTTGTATGTTCTACAATGAATGCTCGTCATTTACATAATATATTGCGGTGGTTGTCGCTCGAGGGACAAGAACCCTCACCTCCACGACCGCCCCCGATGTTGACGTTCCTGATGATACCGTTGCGACAAATCGGTACATGGACCCGGGGTAGCCGAGGGTGTACGCTGGTATTGTGAGGGCCGTGGGATCGTTTCCCACCATATCCTTGTTCAAAGGGAAGCGGCATTATGTGGCGCAAGCTGGTTGATTTAACGCAAGTTCATGTCTTGAGAGCATAGAAATTGTTGCGAGAGGTGGAATGGGCCACAAGTCCTATCGATCTTAGCCTAACCCTGCGTTGAATGAGAAGAGCTAGAAGGGGTGATATTTGCCCCAAACAAACTACAGCATGAAAGGATCATTGATGGCATGGTCAGGCATGGTACGTACGGCCCAAGTCTGAGACGTGTGACCTCGTACACACGGTACCTCGATTACACTTGTGTCCAGGATATCATAGCCGTCGATGCCCGACTCTGTCCAGGTGAATGATAAACTCGAAGCATCACCTGGCGGAGGTTCAATGGACACATACGAGGCCAACGGAGTGGTGACGTTCAAGACGCCGGGAAAACATGTGAATGTAGCCATCTTGGAAACAAGGGTCATGTCTGTATGAGAGGGTATGTGCTGATGTTGGTGCCTTTCACGCAGTAGCCGTGAGCTCACAAGAAAGAACAGCGAACTCAGAAGTACCGGTGGGTATATTGTAATTTGCAGGGATAAGGTCTGCGCAGGGGATGGTTGTTTGTTTCTTACCGCAGGCAGGTGGTGTCGCAGCCATCCTCAGAGAGGTTGGTCGACTCCTTATCGCCGTCTTTGTCGCTGGACCCACCACTACCACCGACGGAGCGTCTTCGTTGCTGTACCCGGAATTGGCGATTGGCAGTGACAAAGGTTGAACAGCGAACGTTTTTTCCCGACATTGTGAAACATCCCGCACGCCAGTTAATACATAGTTCAAGGCAGGAAATGGCAAGCAAGTTATTACCCTCTCGATTCACCGTTCACATTATTGACATGCTTGTGGGTCGGTTCTGTTCCGCCTAATCTCCACAGAATCACATACTTCGTCCCCTCTCCCTCTTTTCGAGAACGCAACCAAGCATGTGGATTACTCTTGAAGTGTTTGGCTGGGGTATGCATGAAACACCAAACACGGTCTCACACTCTGGTGACGGTGACTGCAGCCGCGTCGACAGCACCCAGGAAGTTCTCCACTATTAGCGAGATTTTGAATTCCACCAGGGGCTCGAGCGAGGTTGAGTTCAGGGTGGCATACAGGGATCCCTGAAACGGTTGAAGAGCTCCTGCCACAGCCGCTACGGCAGCGCTGTTGCTTGCAATCGTCGTTGAAACGTTCCAGACGGCGGATAGCGGCCTTGACGCAGCTCCCGAAGACAGACGCCCGTCGAGCGAAAACTCGCCGCAGAGACCCACCCACTGTATTGGGAGTTCACACACAAGGCAGGCGCACAGGAGGCTCCTTGATCAGAGCGGGAAGAAAATCTCTCCGGATGACATGAAGCGCTAAGTGCCTCTCTTGCGCCATCTGCTGCCTCTACCTTACAGGCGGATAATTGCTCGGAGAAACCACAGCATACCAACTCCTAGACAGCTCGATAGTCTTGATTTCATCGCCTCCTCAGCTACCTCTGCAGTTTTTTGCATATATGTACTTCCCTGGGGAGACAGCAGTGGTGCCTACCCGCACAGTATTCACCTGAGGCGCAACCAGAACGGCCGACACCGTGGACGGGTTGTCAGGGGGCAAAACAGGGACTGATCCCTTAGACGAGAGTACGGCAAACGCCTCCGCACGAACCCCTCCATCCTTGAGGACAATGCAAGACTCGTCCGTCGTGCAAGAGGATGTCGAAACCATTGTGGTAGTGGCGGCACTACTTTCTGCCACTACCGATGCATCCGACCCAAGGAATACCGTGAGTTCTCTTTGGCCTGTCCATTCACCTGGTTGTTTTTCGATGCAGTTCGGAAGGCAGGCCACGTAGGCTGTGACTTCAGTATTTCGACATGCTAGGTCTTCAGAAAACCTCTGGTGGAGACCGTCTTATACACATACGTCGTTGCGTCGTACTTCACTTTCAGCCATTCAGAGCACAACACCACAACGCTTGGACCTCGTTGAAGATTATATTGGCCGTGAATGCAGCACCAGCGCCACGTAGAACGTGGGTGCGATTTGGTTGTCATCGAAAACTCACAGGTCGCGCCATCGCCGATCGCAACTAGAGTAGTGCTGCGGAAGAGAGCATCGCAAGCCCCGGCGCTGCCCGAGTCTGTGTCATTCGGGTCCACCAGGCCGCTCGATGCTGAGCCCGCGGCAGAGAACGATACCACGATTGATGAGCCGTCGCTAGTAAACGTTGCCTGCGGTTGGTTGTATCAGCACCGTGAAGAATCGCACCCAAGCGTATATCGCCATGGTTAACAGGAGAAGTTATGTCGGTGAGATTACACCAACCCAAACCAATGGGGTTCTGAGGCGCCGAACACGACGTCCAAAATGATTTGCAACAAGGGACACCATGTGCCTGTGCGCTGCGTGATTGCATGAAACCTCTAACATCGAATCTCGCAGTGCTCCCGGACTACAGTTTGCAGGAAATAGTTGCGTCTGGGCACGGCGGAAGGAGAGACGTGACGCAACGTACCTCTGCGAGCTCCGGTGCCGCCTGTCGCAACCCAAGTGTAACCGCACCGCTGGCGAATACAGCTGGTTCTTCATACAAGGACAAATTCGTTTGTCCATAAATGTACCTGGCCCAGGGGATGTAAAAGGTTCGAAGGAGAGGAATATCACCCTCTTGCTAATATTCTATTTCCGCAGCTGCCCAGCTCAAGCATCCTTGATGTGAGTTTGCAGTAAAGGCGGTTCGGCCACGGGTTCTTTCGCTTCACGCAGACACCAACAGGGACTACGATATGCACGGAAAGGATAAGCGCCAGAGTCGAAAACAAACCGAGAGCACCAAATACTTCCATAACAGAGATCAATCTAACGTATTCCGTTTTACAGGTATTTCAGGAGACACGTGGTGAACTCCACCAGGACCGCTGTGCCAACACATCAATCGAATGTTTTCTTGAAGCGCAGGGTTCCGCACTCGTCATGCGTGCCATCAATTCCAACGTTATGCCAAGGCGAAGGGTAGTCTCACCCGCCGGCCAGCGTGATATTCGGTGCCGGGTCCCACATGACAACAGACGATTCATTGAAGCTGACAACTGCTTCTATGCTGCCATTGGACCACTGGCAAGTTGTTGTGTTCTCGCCGAAAAACTCTCGCGTGGTTTCGTCGAGAAGACTCGTTATGTCGCACCTGTTCGACAACAATAGACACAGCGTGAACCGTGCTCAAACAAGGTCAATAGACCAGATTCGAAGGACAAAACATTCGAATGTTCCAAAATCCGCGGGAGAGACCGTCACAATTGAACCTTTATCAGCCAGGAGAGACCAAGGACATTCTCGTTGTCCTGACCGAGGTATGTTCATATGTGTTCTACTCTGGCGTTCCCGGGGTTGATGGAATGAGAAGTCGACTTTGAACCGTCGCGTAATTTTCAGTTACACGACCGCGCATCTGCCCGCAATCTCCCGCACTAATGGCAGTTGTGTTAAACAGCACATGGGTCACTCGTGAGCCACCCATGGACCACCCATTGGCACTTCATGGGCCGCCCATAGGCTGCCCACAAAGTGCCTACCGTGGGAACTTCAACCTACAGAACTCGCCACCGGCGTATCAACCTGGAGCTTAGCCATCAGCACATATCCAAAAACTTTGCCACCCAGCGCCAACCTATTTAGCGCGTATCGTGTAGGCTTGCGTTTAGGGTTTGGGTTAGCGTTAGAGGTATTAGTCGTTATACTACCCGTTCCAGAGAGGATGGTCTATGTTAAGAAGTACGCTGGTTCAGGTTGAAGGGCACTCAATGGCCGCCCATTGGGCTGCCCATCGGCCACACATGGGTGACCCATGGGTGACCCATGGGTGGTTTTCCAAAACTGGGAGACGCTCTTCACGCGGCCAACTACAGTATTATGACAACCACTTTAATTTTCTTATTCAACGTGCTCTAGACGACGTACCGTTGGTCAAATACCCCGGTTACAAAGTCGTGTCCGCACAAGGCCGGCGGAAACGACAGCTCCGAAAGCTCCGAAGCCTCAGCGCCAGCTGTGCAATAGCAGGTCCGGTTGAAACTTAACACGAACAAGCTTTCAGTTTCTGAAAGCTCTGCGGAGGTCAACTCTGGCGGAGAAATCTCATTGGAATCTCCAATCGGGGATACAGTTGGGCTAGGTGTAGGATCTGGAGTTGCCGTTGGGGCAGGGGTAGGCGCCTCTGTTGGACTCAGCGTATTCGGTGTCTCTGTGTGGGTCCGGTATGCGACAAGTCTTGCTTCTCCAATCACCTGTAGGAAAGAGCACGCACGAGTGAGTGCGTGTACGTGGGTGAATACACCGAGCATGATCGAACTGTATGGTGTTGTCAAGCTGGAAGGGCATGAATCGTATATTCCAAGCCCCATCTACCACGGCTTCGCTATTTAGCATTTTTACCCACACCTGTCGCATCGGACTAGTTGTCAGCGATGACGCTTCGGGAATCCGCGCTACGCTTGATTGAGTCGGTCCAAGGGCCCAACACATCTCGTTTGGCATTCTTTGATGACAGAAAGGGTATTTGACTCGTAACCTAGACCATCGATGTCGCTCTATAGTATTTTCATGTCCACTGCAGCAACCTTTCGATGGACGCGTGGAGAAGCGGGGGCACGGAAGGGGAAACAACCTTTGCTGCGCTCTTGTGCCGTGACCAGGCCCTCATGAGACCCTGCTTTGGGCCCGGCTTCATGCTCTGTCTAACGAGATACGTCATTCTACTCAATTTGAGCAAGAGGTATCACTTCCCAACGCCTAGAACTCACATAGAGATACGTCCAGTCCGGAGACACGAGCGCCCTGAATAACAGACAAACCGGGAGGCGTGGGTGACAAGGAGAGACGATGAAGATTTGCTTGCTGTGTTCCTCGCCTACTCTATTTCTGACCTCTTCCCGGTTCCTCTACTTCCCTACTCTTCCAAGCAAACCCACGAACTTCCATGTCCACGAAATCTAACCTGAAATCAGTTCCGATCGAAAAAATGAAAGTCCCCACAAGTACGAAGAGAAGGTAGACCCTAGACCCGCGGGAAAAGTACGATTTTTCTTCCGCATATGCCAGCATGAGGGATGAGCCCGGGGAATAACCCAATCTCCCACGCTACGGGCAGTTTCTGCTAATGCACCCATGGGTGCCCCATGAGCAGCCCATGGGCCGCCACGGACTGCCCATGGGGCGGTCATGGGTTGTTCATGAGCTGCTCATAGGTGGGTCCACGCGCAGCCCATGAACTCCCCACACAGTGCCCACCGTGGGCACTTCAACCAAGATCTTCGCCACCGGCGAAATATCAACCCAGAACTTAACCACCCAGCATCCACCTAGCACGTATCGTATGGACTGGGGATTAGGGTTGGGGATAGCGTTAAGGTTTTTAGCCGATAGTAAAGCCCCTTCCAAAACAGATAATTTACTGTTTAGGAGTACGCTGGTTCCGGTTGAAGGGCACTCATTGACGGTCCATGGGCCGCCCATGGGCTGCCCATGGACTTCCCCGTGGGCATTCCCCATGGGCAGCCCATCGGCACCAATGCACCCGTGGGCACTTCGCTGACCATGGCCATGGGTGCCCCATCGACAGCCCATGGGCGCAACGTGATGCCCATGGGCAGCCGATGGGTGCCCGATGGCTACCTATGGGTGCCTCATGGGCGGTTAAGCAAAACTTCAGAAAGTGTGCGAGGCCCGGATACCCTACCGTAACGACGCTGTTCTGTATTCGGAAACGTGTGTCATACCTGTTGAAAATGCTATCCTCAGCATCTACATCGGTGCACGGCTCGGCCCTGTGTACGGCGACGGGCGTGAAGGGGTATTGAAAACCTAGATATGTACACTCATACACACGTTTCGGCGAGCTGGCAATCCACGCTATTCTTGACAAGGGGCCCCAAGCCGGACGGAGGGTGGAACGTTGCACGAACGGCGCCATTGTGACACCAACCAGTACAGTAGGGGCGACAGTACCGTTCAACGGAATCGTTTTCGCTCACAGGGATCCATCGAGGGCATCTGGAATGTATTCTCCAATCTTGAGTCCGGTGGCGGTGGTGGCAGAGGTAGTCAGGGAATGGTTGTTCGCGTCCGTCCGGTGTTTGTCGCGGCGGATGTTTGATGTGGAGGATGCATACCCATTAAGAGAAGCGACGAACGTCAGAGAGGTAAAGGAGCGGGAAGAGAACTGCAGCTTTCGAAGGGTTATGGATTAAAGTGTCATGTGCGGATGCCCCGTCGATTCGACAAGACACAACAGACAACAAACGTTTAGCGGGAACAAGACAAGCACCCTCTTCAAGTCGCACCGTTCGAATACGACCAAAAATCACCATTATGCTCACCATTCCGTTGGCTGTCCTTCCGGCGTACAAGCGCTGGATGAAGGCGTGTGCATTGGGGGACAAGGGGCGGGGGGTGTTATGGAAAATGCAGGGTTACGACCAATACGTGAGTGGTTTGCCGACGGAGCATTGCAATTTTCTGTGGGGTTTCGAACGAAAGAAGAGTGAACGCGACACGGATGAGTGCTACATGCTGTAAATATCCACTCCAAGAGTGTGGAAATGCACCCGCCCAACACTGAGGCGCATTCTACGCGAGGATAACACCCTTGGTTTCCGGCAGCAAGGTGCCACCTCAGCGATAACGAGAGTTCGAGTGGTTCCGTCGGAAGTCCTCAACGGCATGTACCG